CACACACACACACACACACACACACACACCACCCACCAGAAGTCATTACTTGTGTCAGATTTTCATGGGAGCTCATATTTATTAACACTGACCATGGCTGCCCTCTAGTGCACAGAGACCTGAACTACCAGAACACGAGCACCAGCGTGTCCCACAAAGAATATACTGTAAATAAATTAGACACAGCACAGTTTACTCCACACACTGTAATTACAGAGCATGTAAGTCTAAAACAAGTTTTCCTTTCAGTTCATATGTTTGACTTTGATTTAAATATTTAATTTAATTCAACTATGTTTGGAAATTGATCTGCCTATTGTCAGTTGGTAGGTAAGTATTTAGGTAGGTAGGTTGGTAGGTTGGTAGGTAGGTGGGTAGGTAGGTAGGTAGGTAGGTAAGTAGGTAGGTTGGTAGGTGGGTAGGTCGGTTGGTAGGTAGGTAGGTAGATTGGTAGATAGGTTGGTAGGTAGGTTGGTAAGTGGGTAGGTAAGTAAGTAGGTAAGTAGGTAGGTTGGTAGGTAGGTAGGCAGGTAGGTAGGTTGGTAGGTAGGTAGGTCGGTTGGTAGGTAGGTAGGTAGGTTGGTAGAGGGTGGGTAAGTAGGTAGGTAGGTAGGTAGATAGGTCGGTAGGTAGGTTGGTAAGTGGGTAGGTAAGTAAGTAGGTAACTAGGCAGGTGGGTAAGTAGGTTGGTAGTTAGGTTGGTAGGTAGGTTGGTAAGTGGGTAGGTAGGTAGGTAAGTAGGTAGGTAGGTTGGTAGATAGGTTGGTAAGTGGGTAGGTAAGTAAGTAGGTAGGTTGGTAGGTAAGTGGGTAGGTAAGTAAGTAGGTAAGTAGGCAGGTGGGTAGGTAGGTAGGTAGGTCAGTCGGTCGGTAGGTGGGTAGGTGGGTAAGTGGGTAGGAAGGTTTGTAAGTGGGTGGGTAGGTAGGTAGGTAGGTAGGTAGGTAGGTAGGTCGGTAGGTGGGTAAGTAGGTGGGTAGGTATGTAAATGCAAAACAGTTCTTTAGCGTCTTCCTGCTGATGATAGTGAGACATGAAGCTGAGTCAAACAACATGTTACAATAGAGGAACTGTTCCTGATCCACAAGCTGCAGCTTCTCTGTCTGCCTTTTCTTTTTCTGTCTGAGTGGTGGGTGTAGAGTGGGAGCTGAGATGTGAAGCTCTTTTAATATGTGTTTTTCCCTCTCAGCTGCACATAAAATTCCCCCCCACTGCACAATAAAAGGAGCACAACTAAATTGTACAGAGTGAAAAGTAGCACTTATCAGTTTTGGGATGTGAATATGTTCTGGTAGCACAACAACTCTGTCCCTGACTTTTCCACCAGCTGACGTCAGCATTATATAATTATCTTCCCTGTGGCTGCAGCAGAGAACACAACAACAGAATCCTTGTGTGGTGTTTTAATGGGCTCTGAGCACTAACAGTAAGTGTATGGAGAATGAAAGTGTACTAATAACTCACTTTATTGTTAGAGAGAGCACTTCATGTTCAATAATCCCATAAACATTCTGCAAAACAACCCTTCAGACTATTACCAGCTCACATGTGCACACATTCAATTTTTTTATTATGACAAGTATTGTTCATTAAACCCATTTAATGTGTCTATGCATCAAAATGTATTAAATAGATAAAACAATGCAGAAAAACTTCCAATAAATAAACTAAGAAGAGCTTTTAATAAACAGCAAATTAAGAAATAAATCCTCCACAGACAAGGGGATGTGGGAGAATGTTGGGAAAAGAGATTCAAGGACAAATTCATAGGAGGGAGTTGTTTAATTCTGAGCTGAACCTACGATGGACATTCAAAGGTCTGACAATGTGAATAAAGAGTCAGTGTTTGTAGAAAATACACAACGTGCTGCAGAATGAGGGGTTTTGATAGAAATGTATAATACAGCAGTGAGTGCAAGCTGTGAAACTCAATCACAAATATCTTATGTGAGCAGATTATTTATGTTGAAGGGGAGATTCCCCGACTGTTGAGGTCTGTGTTGGAAACAACGTCAGAGTTATTAACTCACTGATTTAATATAATATAATATGTTGAATGGTGCGTTGGGGAAGTTGGGTTTTCCCGTTTTAGTGGGAAATGATGCTTGTTAGCTAAGTATGAATAGGGGTTTTAAACATGGTATAAATATTAACATTTATAACATTAAAAATGTTTAACAGCAACCAAGCTGCACTTTTTATTTCTGTAAAGTTAAAAACTTTACAGTAGAGCCCTGGAAAACTCAAGGACCAATGAATGAGCTGCAAATCATCTCATGAGCCAATCATGACTCATCCAGTCATGTTGAAGATAATGATAAAAAAAAATTAATAACAATTTAAAGTTAAACGCTATTTTTAAATTTGCTAATATTTCCTGTGTTTTATCTTTTGAACATGAATCAGGTACTTGTTCTGTTTCCCTTGAATAGTCACATCTCTATGATGCGATGATTAAAGTTAATTAAAATGTAGAATGACTAATGATTAATTAAATATTACTTTGTCATCAGGAGGTAAAAACCTCTGGGACTGATTGAGGTGGAACTCTACCTGCAGGTCTGGACGCCATGAGTTTATTCATCCGTTAAAAGTTCTGTATTATTATTATTATTATTATTATCATAGTGATGAAGTCAATTAGAAGTTTTCTTCTCTGTGTGATTTGTGCAGATTCAACCTTTAAAGTCCTGATCACTGCTGAAGCTAACGGAGCTAATGAGCTGCGACTGAAACGAGCTGCTCCTTCGTTACGTCTCTGTTTCCTGTGAAGCCGGTGGACATGGCGACACGTCGGGTAACAATCGTTTAATTCTTAGTTTAATACTTAATTCATATTTAGTTTAGATTGTTAATTTAAAAAAAACCTAAAGCTCTGGTACTCGTGTCGGTGACGAGACGTAGTTAGCTTAGCGAGCTAGGTTAGCTCGCTAAGCTAACTAGCATCTTGCAGTGTTATGAGTTTTAAACAGTGTGAACCGCGAATATCTGTGTGTTTGTTTGTGTTAATGTGTGTTTACTGAATATCTCTGTGTTAATGTGTGTTTACTGAATATCTGTGTGTTAATGTGT